ACCAGGCGGGATCAGGAAGAAAGTATTGCATACTGTAGCATTCTTTACGTTAGCCGCGTGATGTGAGAGAATATTTCGAAACAATCGAGCAACTTTTGTTGCGTATTCCGATGCGGGCCTCGTCCAGGATACATGTGTGGTGGAGTGGAAGGGCTGCTGCCCCCACAGTGGGAGGAGTCTTTAGCTGTTTGGCGGTTCCTTTTTTGAGAGGGTGGTCCCGCGCCGGGATTCTATGGGTGGTCTTCCCCACGGGCGTAATTAGTTCATGGATCGGGGGGGGGGGGGAGGGGGGATGCGTACGACGACTTGCGGGGTGGGGTGGTGGGTCCGGGGCTACCTGGGGGAGTGTGAGGCATGGTGACCCGGATGAGAGAGGGAGGAGAGGGCAAGGGATGGAGCAGTGGGGTGGGGGACGGGGTGCGGGCCGGCGACGGGCAGCAAGGGCAGCGGGCGACGGGCGACGGGCGACGGGCAGCAAGGGCAGCGGGCAGTCGGCAGTGGGCAGAGCGCTTGGTGAACGAATGAGTTCATTAGGGTACGCAGGTAGCGTAGAGTTTGTCGTCAGAGGACATGAAGGATGGAAGATGCGGGTAGGGGCGCGAGGGGCGGGGGGGGGGGGGGGGAGGAGTGAGCGGAGTATAAGATCATCCGCACGACTACTGGATGTTGGGGGGGGGGAGGGGGACAATCATGGCCGCGATGACGACTTGACTACATCAAGTGGAATGGTGGGGCTAGGTGAGCTCAGCCACGCCTTCGAGCGCCAAAAGGGAGAGTCGCCATCACTCGATAGCCATCGACTGCACACCGCCGTCGCGGTCGGACGGAGAAGCGACGCCAGAGGAGGCCGCCGAGGTTGGCAGGCTGTCGTTTGCGACGTAAGTGACAAAGGGAGACGAGTCGGGGACGACGCCGATGACGCCCGCCGTCAGTGGCGAGGTGAAGATGGGCGCGGAGACCGGTAGGGGATGAGGATGTGTGGAGAGGTCAGCAGAGTTGAGTGCTGTGGCCTTCTTCCGCCGATGAGGTGACGATGATGCTGCTGCCGATGCTGTCTTGGTCTTCCGCCGTCTTCTCTTCGACGACGACGTCTCGAACAAGGACGGGTCCAAACCGTTGTACATTGCCAACGAGTCATTGACTCCCACGTCGCCGGGCCGGTCGGGCATGGTGTGGGTAAACCGAGGGTCAAGGGCAGACATAATATCCCCAGGCAGACGTATCACGTAGCAGGCGTTATACGCGACCGGTCTGTGATGACGGTGGGGGTGAGGTGATGTGGTGTAAGGTTTCGGAGGAGGGAGCCAGACGACGCCATGGAAGGTCTGCCGAAGAAGGGCGCACAACGAGCGTCTGATCGCTGCCGCGATCGCCATCGCGATCGCGATCGTGATCAAAACCCACCATACGTGACACACAAGGACGGGCACGGGCACGGACACGGGCGGCGCCACCTCTCCTACTAGATGTCGTCGCTTAGCCAAAAGACCAAGCAGTGGATTGTGGCCGGAGTGGGCCTGGGTGCGGTCACCGGTGTGGCCATCTTCCTCTGGCGCCAGTCCAAGGTACGTGGCCGTGGGCTGCTCTGCTTTGTGCCACCAGCCGTTCGCCTTGTCGCGCTTTGGCGCCAAGTCGCAGACGACGAGAGACGAGAGGTGGGCGGGGGGAGGATAGAGGAGGGGGGGGGGACGTACAGGGGAAGGTGACTCATGGAGTGCATGCGTTGCCGTGGTTGTGGTTGTGATGGCTCTCGTTGTGATGGCTATGGTGATGGTTGTCGGGGCGGTCGTTGTCGCGGCGGGAGGGAGGGGTTAGCGGAGGCGGCTGCTGCGGGTAGAGACGGACCTAGAGGTGGTGGACTCGTGGGATGAGGCCGACCTGGCCAAGATGAAGATTGCCGAGGATCAGGCGTCGCGAGAGCTGGACTATGAGCACCAGGCGGTGGTGCTGGAGAACATGGCGCTGTTCTACACTCGGCGAGGCAAGCACGAGGACGCGGCGCTTGCGCTCAAGACCCTGCTCAATGTGCAAGAGAAGGTGTATCAGACGTCGGTGTGCAAGGAGCGGGCGGCAACGCTGTTTAAGCTCGGCCTCTCGTACGGGCACTCTGGCCAACCGCTGCTAGCTGTGGCGGCCTTTGAGCGGCTTGTCGAGCTGGAGACTCGCCTTGGTGTGGTCTTCCACCAGGCGTACCAGCCGCTGGCTGCGATTTACATCGAGATGGGCCAGTACGCCAAGGCGCAGGAGTTGTACGAGACGGCGCTCGCGGAGGGCGCTGGTGAGCTCGGCTACGCCGCCCGCAAGTACCTCGACGGTCTCGCGGTGTGCCTCTTGGAGCAGGGCGTCGAGCTGGACCGCGCCCGCGATCTCTTTGAGCAGGCTCGCGACATGGCGGCCGAGCTGCCGGCCGAGCTCGGCGGGCCGGTGGAGTACGCCATGGCTCTCATCCACCTCGCCCGCTTCCACTCCAAGACAGAGGACATGGCGACGGCGGCGACGCTGCTGGACGACGCCGTCAAGACCCTCAAGGGCGCGACCGGGCGCTCGCACCCGGACCTGCCGGGCACGCTCTCGGACCTCGCCCGCATCAAGCTCGCGCTTGGCGACTACGACGGCGCAGAGGCCGCCCTTGTCGAATGCAAGGAGACGCTCGAGCTCGGCGGTCTGGCCAACGTCGACGACATTGCCCGGACTCAGATGTCGATCGACAACGTCCGCCGCGAAAAGGCCAACGCCGTGCGCGCTCCCCTCATCTAATAACACCTGGTACAGTTGCCTCGCCACTCATGTGGGTGGAAAGGCCGGCACCTCTCCGGCAGCAGCGAGCTCGCGCGGGACCATGACGGCCCGCCGCGACTTGGCGCGGTGCCGCCGCCGCTTGGCAGCCATCAGCCGATTCGGCCGCCGCCGCGGAACCGGCGGCGGAGGCGCGTCGCTCGTCGAGGTAAGCACCGCAGGTGGTGGCTGCGCGTCGGAGGACGACGACGGCAAGAGGCCGAGCGCTTGCAACTCGCGCTCGAGTTCGGCCTGCAGGAGTTCGCGCGAGCTGCGGAGTGGATCCATCCGCGACCGCTGCCGCCGCGGCAGTGGGAGCGTCGGCGCACCCAGCGGAGGCGACGGCGGGTCGAGGAGCTGCAGCGACGCCCGTGAGACTTCCTCAAAGTCGACCGACGGGTTGTAACAAAACAGCGAGCCGAGCATGTCGTCGAGCTCGGCGGCAACCTCGACTAGGTCGTCGAGATCGCCTGACGCTGGTGGGACAAGGACCGGAGGCGTGGCGGCCGCCAGTGCCGCCGCAGCCTGGATTGACGTCACCGCTGCCGGCGGCCGCGACCGTGGCGGCGGCCGCGGCGGCGCCGAGCTTGCCGACGCCTCTGTGTCATCCAAAGACTCGAGTGCCTCGGCGGCAACCAGCGAGTCGAGCTCGGACGACATGCGCCGCCGCGGATTGCGGAGCGCCACGAGGTGTCGAACCGGAGGCGCTGTCGGCCGCGCGGGTGGGACCGGCGGCGCAGCTCCAGACGGCGACGGCGACGGCGATGGCGACGGCGGCTGTGATGCGGCGCCAGCACCAGTGCCAGCGCCAGCGCCAACGCCAGTTGCTTGTTCGCGGACTCCCTCGACCGCAACAAGCGCGGTGCGGACGGCGCGGGTGACCGCGGTGGAACGGGCGGAGCACGTTGACCACGCTGCCTCGATGTGCGACGGTGAGGCCTGGTCGTAGGCCACCACAAACGGCTTGACGAGGCGAAGCATGTTGAGGCACGGCTCCTTGATGTTGTACTCGACGCCAGCCTGTGCGCAGAGCTGCTGGATACCGTGGGCAATACGGACGACGTAGACGGTGGCGTCCGAGATGCGGCCGATGTCGCGGGCGCTGATGACCTCTTGCATCTCGGCCATGAGCGACCGGAAGAGCGCGACGTGCGCCGAGAGGGCATCACCCTCGCGTGGATCCAGGCACGAGTCGTGGACTCGCGGCTGGGCCTGCGGCATGCCGACTGGCAGCGGGTCCCAGCAGAGCAAACAGCAGCAGTGGCGCACAAAGTCGGTCTGGCAGTACTGATCGCGGCCATGGGTGACGTACTCTGCATGGGCCAGTGGCACCTTGCAAACAGCACAGACAAAGCAGGCAGCATGCCAGTAAGCGTTGTCCGCCGAGACCACATCGCCATCGACAATGTTCTCCCCGCACGAGCCACAAATGACGCAATAAGCAGCAGCATAGTGTTCCGGACACAATAATTTTCCTTGCAGAAAAAAGACGGCTTGCCCAACAGCGCCACGCCGCAACTATTGCACGCCAAGCAAGCCTTTCGCCACACCTTGCCATGCACCTCGCGTGCCTCTCCTTCATCCATGCCCGAGCCAGCTCTTGCCATTTCTCCACACCCGCACCCGCACACTCCTGCAACTGTTGTTGTCGCCATGGTGGAGGGGGGGGGGGGGGGGGGGGTAGGGGTGGGGAGGGGAGGGGAGGGGAGGGGAGGGGAGGGGAGGAGTGTGTGTGGCGGCAGTCGGCGGCGGCCGGCGGTGTCGGCGGCAGTCGGCGGCAAATGATGGGCAGGACCGACAGGTTTCTTTTTCTGTTACGAGATGAGCGGATGATGGCAGGGAAGAGGTTTGATGGTTTAGTCCTTGCGGCGAGCACGACGCGAGACAGAGCCCGAGGCCTTTGGGAGCGGCTCGGCATCGCTGCCGTCGTCATCGTCGTCGTCGGCCTCATCGTCCGAGTACTCCTCAACGACGTACTCCTGGGTCTCGGAGCCGGCGCAGCAGAGGCAGCAGAGGAGGAGCGGGAGGAGGACGATGCCGAGGGCGACGGCGAGGCCGAGGAGCGGGTTGGCGAGGCCGATGGTGAGAAGGTAGTTCATGGCGTCAGAGGCCTGGTCGGTGAACTTGGGCTTGCGCTTCTCGAGCTCGCGTCGAATGAGCTCGGCGTGGCGGTCATACTTGGGCCGCCAGCCGAGCGAGCGAGCAGTGGCGGCGTCGGCCTCGGAGGTCGAGACGAGGACGTTGTCAAAGGCAATACCCGGCGACATGGTCCAGAGCTCAAAGGCAAGGCCATGAATGGGAGCGAGCTCGGTAAAGGCGTCCGAGACGACGCCGTAGTAGGCCGGGTTCGGGATCTGGCGCGCCTTCCACGGACCCTTGTACGCCGGGTTGGGGATCTGCGGCGGAGTGTACTTGCCTTGGTACTCTGGGTTGGAGATCTGGCGTGGCGCCCAGTGGCCACACCCAACCTCGTCGCAGACCGGGTTGGGGACGAGCGGTGCCACCCACTCGCCGTCCTCCTCCTCGTCCCAGTCGGCAGGCATCTCGGCCTCGGGGTCCGGCACCATCTCGGGCCCGTCGTCGAGCCATCCGTCGGGCTTGACATCGTCGGGATCGGCAATGAACGGCTCGGCGTCGGCCCAGGCCGGACGCTCGGCCTCGGGGTCGTCGATGGTCTCGGCGTCGACCCAGTCGGCGGGCTTGGAGTCGGTTGGGTCGTCGATGACCTCGGGCAGCTGCATGGGCGGGTCAAAGTCGTCGGACGAGAGCAGCGAGCCGGAGCGGACCGACTCACCGTCGATGAGGAGCTCGAATGAGTTGTCGCTGCGGACAACGAGCGTGTACGCGTGCGTGGCCTCGTCGACCCGGACCAGCGGGCGATCGGTCATGTGCTTCTCCTCCCACACCCCGGTCTTCGGGTTCTTGTGCCGGAAGATAAAGTGCACCTTGGACTCGGTGCCACACTTGTCAGGGCCGAACATGATTGAGTACGGCGTCTCGCCGTCGAGCTCGGTCCCGTCAAACTCGTCCGCAACCTCGCCGGCCGAGATGAGCTTGACGTACGCTCCGCCGCACGAGAGACCCTCCTGCAGCTGGACCTCGTACTGAACAACTAGCGCCGGAACTGCAGCCTCGCCCGAGAACTCGACCGGGGCGCCGAACCGCTGAAAGAGGCCGTACCGCTTCGCCAGCTCGGGCATTGTCAGCTGGACGTCGCCGCGCACGCCCTCGAGATGCAGCGCCTCGAGCACCTTGAACTTGCCCTCGTAACCGTCGGTTGCCGAGTGGATCCAGTGATCGTCCCACTCGCCGTCAAACGACTCGTAAATGATCACTGACGACGAGAGCGACGTGATCGGCTTGTACTACACGCGCGCCGACCCCCAAGTCGCCAGCCACAGCCGTGTCCGTGAGAAGCCGCCATGGTTACGGCCATCGTCATCGCCAGCGACGACCACAACCACCAGCACGACCACAACCACCAGCACGACCACGACCACCAGCACGACCACGACCACCAGCACGACCACGACCACCAGCAACGACCACGACCACCAGCAACGACCACGACCACGACCACCGCCACCGCCACCATCACGACCGCCCCAACCATCACACCCCATATAGCCATCCCATATCATCCCAAGTGAATCCCCACCCCCATCATCCCCATCCCCCATCCCCCATCCCCATCCCCATCCCCATCCCCATCCCCATCCCCATCCCCATCCCCATCCCCGTCATGCATCGCATCAAAATCGCGTACGTCATCGATAGGCACCTCCTCGGCCCCGGCGCTCCCGGCACCAGCAGCCTCGTCAAACTCGTCCAACTGGTCATCACCCTCCATGCTACCACCAGAGCTTGCTGCAAGGCCATGTGTAATGGTTGTGGCAAGAAGTGTGCCAAGAATGAGCAGGACAAGCCAGCTGCGTGAGACCTTCATGACGACGGCAAAGAAAAGTGGGGTGCGCTCCCGCTGGTGAAGGAGTGCCACCACCAGCCACAGGCACAGGCGGGTGGCAGTACACCCCGGGAGCATCCGAATTCGATGATGTGATGGTGGGCGTCGTCGTGCCAAGATCACATCCAGTCTATCAGTCGTCGGATCGGAGGAGGAGGAGGAGGAGCTGATCGGGGGAGGGGGGGGGGCAGAGGGAGGGCGGTGTGGGTGACGAGGGAGAGCGAGGGGAGGGGAGAATCAGAGATCTCGAAAACCATCTCACGCGAGGGCTCACCAAACACACACACACTCTCTCTTTCCCAACCTTTATCCCATGGTGGGAGCCATTGCTTGGCCAATGACAAGAGTCTTCACCAGCGGACACACCTCCGGCGCGGCTACGCCGACTAGATCTTGCGCTTCAACTTGATGATGTTCTTGTTCTCGCGGTCGATCGAGGCCTGTGTCGACTCGACGTGGTCGTTCAGGTGGTCGAGCATGAGGTTCTGGTGGTCCACTTCTTGCCCGATGGCATTCGCCAGCTGGATTTGACGCGCCATAATGTCCGAGAGCTGGTCCAGGCCTTGGTCCTGGTTCTCCATGATCTTCTTCTGCAGGTTGATGAGGTCGCGGTTGTCGAGATCGACCGTCTCCTCGGTTTCTCCGGCCACGCCCCACTTGGTCGGCGGCGGCTTGCGCGACGACGACGCACCAGCAAAGAGTGCCGACCGCCCGGCGGCACCAGATGTCGGCGGTGCGCCTCCGACTCCGGCCGACGCCCGCACGCTCTGCAGCTCTTCGATCATCTCGGCCTTACGGATGGTAAGCTGCGAGAGCAGATCCTTGCGGCGCATCGCCTCGCGGCCAGTAATGGACAGGTTGCCCGAGTCGAGCTCGGTGCGGAGGGTGGCAATGCCCTCGGCGAGCCGGTTGATGCGGACCCGCAGGTTGGTGTTGAGCCGCTCAGTGTCCTGGCCCTTTGCGCTCGCTGTCCGCATCTGCCCGAGCAGGCTGGCCATCTCGTCACAGCCTCCAACCAGCGCCCGATACAGCGCAAGCCACGACTCCTTGGCGTTGGCAGTCACCACCGTGTCGGGTGACTTGCTGTCCAGCTCCATCGCCGCCCGAAAGGCAGCGTTCGAGCGGATGCCCACAACCCGCAGCAGGCCCACCAGATACGCCTCCAAGCCTGCTCTCCGCTTGGCCACAAAGCCATCAGACTTGTTGCCGAATCCGAGCTTCTTACCCGGAAACGCAGGCACCGTCATCTTAGCCGCCTTGAGCGCCGAGTTGAGATCCGCCAGCTCCGAGTATCGCCTCAGAAACGTCCATGTCTCGGTCGAGTTGGTCACCTCAATGGCATACCGCTATCCCCCCTCGCCCGTCACCGCCACCGCCACCGCCACCGCCACCGCCGTCGCCGTCCCGTCACCCGTCACCGTTCATGAGCCACATGTCGATCTTCGGTAAGTCGCAATTGCCAACGACGCCGGCTTCCTCTCCCCCTTCCCCTCCCGGTGCAGCCATGGAGAGCCATGCCGCTCTACCCACCCACGTCACCTTAGCTACAGGCACACGACCCACACTCATACAATGTCACGCGCTTACCGTTGGTCCAGAACCCTTTTTCACATCCACAATCTTAATGCTGAGCTCGAGGTCGTCCATCCTTAACACGGCCGCCCCCCTGCCTAGTCAGGCCGCGCGACGGGTGTCTGCACACCCGGCCTGTCCGCCCGCTCGCACCCCGCTTGTCCGCCCGCTCACACCCCTCATTCCGATCACAGCCCGATGGCACAGCCCAACACCTCAATCACACATGTCATTGTCTTCATTGCTCTCCGGATTGCACTTTGCATCATCAGCTCCATCGTGGAGCACCGTGGCCGTACAACGGCGCACCGGGTGAGGCGCGGTAGGCCGGGTAGGGAAAGGCGGTAAAGGCCCACGGGGCGGTAGGTGGCGGGACAGGACTCGGCCAACTTGGCCCCGCATGCGAGAAGGCTGCCGGCATCGGCATAGCCATCGGCATCGGCGCCCACACGGGCGAGTGCATTCCAGGCCCGATCATCCGCGGCGTCGCCTGCCCGGTCACGCCCACAGAATGAACAGGGAGCACACGACCGGGCGCGCACAATCCGCCACCGGCCCACCACCCGCCGCCGCCAAGGCCAAACATCGGGTGCGGCGTTCGGGCTGGCGAGCCTGAGAACGGCGCCGCCGCAGGTATCACCGGCTGGGTCGGAACCTCTACGGAGATGTCCCGCTTCGACTTGCGGCCACTGGCCTTCCCCTTGCCAGCACTCGCACGCGGAGCCTGCTCCCCACCCAGGACTCGATCCACACTCAGCTCGCCCCCGGCCAACATGCGCTCGATGGCGGCGGCGGTCCGGTCGATGGCCTCGATCGGAATGTACTTGCCGGTTAGCCACATGCGGCGCAGGTTGCGAGTCATGAGCTCGTCGGAGCCAACCAGCGGGAGAACCACAAACTCGACGGCGTACTGCGCATCGCGAGCCATGGCCACTACGCTCCGCATGTCCTTGAGCTTGGCGTTGGTGTTGCCCCACGCCAAAGGGCTCACCCCCTCGGCCATCAACGCCTCCATCCGGCTGTGGCTCTCGCGGATGGCGCGCCCGATGGCGCGGAACTGGAACTCGGCATGGGTCTCCGACTTGTTCTCAGCCGTCAGCCCACGCTCCACAGCATTTAGCCCAGCAATGGCGTCGACCACAAGCTTAGCCAGCCGAGCCTTGCGCTTCTGTCCGCCCTTGCCGCCGATGGTAGCCTCGATCTGGTCCTGGAGAACGGCAACATCGAGCGATGCGCTGTTGTGCACGACTACGTCTTCCAGCGCACGCATGACGACCATAGCCTGGCTCCCGGGATCAACTTGGTCCCACGGCTTGGCCACATACACCCCGTTGACGTCATCCAGACACACATCGGTCACCTCGCCCTCGATCTCGTTGACCAGGTACGTCGACTTGCCCGAGTTCTGTGCCCCGACTGTGATATAGACCACACCACGGACACCACCCCCATCTCCGCCACTCTTTGCCCTCCTCTGCCTCGTCTCCTCGTCGCCCATGCCCTTGCTGCCAACACAGACGAGTCTTACAGTCACCCCCCCCCTCCACCAGCCCCGCCCGTCAATCCCTCACTCCACTCGATGGAAACTCGTTTTGCCATTGATGAGGTCAGTGCTGTCGGCGCTGCCCCATCGAACCCCCACCGAATCCCGATCGAAGCCGCCATCAAGCCCTCGTTTCCCGATTCCTACTGGTGGTGTGCTAGTGATGAGGGTGTTGCACAGATCATGCCCTGATGCAAGGTCTGGTGTAAGCCCTGATGCAAGCCCTGGTGTAAGGTCTGGTGCAAGCCCTGATGCAAGCCCTGATGCAAGCCCTGATGCAAGCCCTTTTGCAAGCTCTGGTGCAGGCCTTGGTGCAAACCCTGCTACAAGCCCTGACGCAGAAGGACGGAAGAACTGTTGCAGGCCCTGATGCAAGCCCTGATGCAAGCTCTGATGCAAGCCCTGATGCAAGCCCTGATGCATCGTAGCTTCACCACAGGCCCGAACGTGATTGATTGATGCACCATTGATTGTGAGTGGAGAGAAAAAGTGGACAATTGGGCATACTCCTCTCTCCCTCTCACTCTCTCGCCGTCTCTCCCTCGACGCACGCCATTGGGACCAATGGCGGCGTTCCTGTTTGGTGGCAAGACGACGACGTCATTGCTCCGCCAGTCCAATGCCCGGCAGGGTATTTCCCGTCGTCCACGAACACTGTCCCGCTCTCCCGTGGACAACTCCTTCATCGACATGCTCCCTGATGAGCTGTGTCTGGAACTGCTGAGTACGTCTGGCCCTTCTCCACCCCCCCCCCCCCCCCCCCCCCCCTCCCCCTTGCGCTCGCAAGTCACGCCACGGAACCTCGCTGGAAGCCGACCACCGCACCCCCCTCCCACGGGGAACCACAGCCACTGCACAGTCTCCCCTTCGCCTACCACCCGCATACCGCTGCCACCTACCCCTGTACCAATTCTGAGCTGTCTGCTCTATACTCACCTACTTGCCCATCCCCATGTCCACCGTCAACCTCGGACTGGCGCCACATGGACAGTGTCATCGTTCAATCCCGGTTCACCGGATGGTTCATCAATGGTGAACCATTCATGACGTTGGCCGGTGATCCGCCTCCCGGCTGCCCCCATCCCTCAGGCTACCTCGACGCAACTAGCCTGTGTGCTCTGGCGCAGACATGCAGGGAAATGCGGCGACTGACCAACGACAAGTCACTGTGGAAGGCGCTGTGCAAGGCAGCGTGGCGGCGGTCGTACTGGGGCCCATCGTCGTCGGCTTACGTCACTCTTAACGAGTCTCTGAACAACGACTGGAAGAGCATCTACGCCACCCGAACCGCGGTCGACAAGCGCTGGACCCGCGGCGACTGCCGCCTCGTCACACTCTACGGCCACCACCGCGCCATCGACGCCCTCCAGTTTGACGACGCCAAGATCGTGACCGGCGGTGAGGATGGCTTGCTGGTTGTGTGGGACATCCGCTCCGGCTCCGCCGCGCGCGTCCACAACACCTTTGACGACATGGTCGTTGCCCTCCAGTACGACACCAATGGCATTGCCGTCGTTGGCCTCTGGAACGGCGACATTCGCGTTGTTGACCTCGACTCGGGCGCAAGCCTCGGCTCGCTCTCTGGCCACACCGCTGGCGTCCGCGCCCTCCACGTTGTCGGCAACACCCTGGTCTCGGGCGCCTTTGATGGCGAACTGCGCCTCTGGGACAAGTCGTCGGGCGCCTGCCGTGTCGCCGTCCAGGCCCATGCGGTCGGCATCACCGCCCTCGCTGTCGAGCCAGCCCTCGGGGTGCTCGCCACCTCGTCGCTCGACGGCTCGGTTCGCCTCTGGTCGGGTCTCGCCTCTGTCAACCCCATCCCCACACCTACAGGCACCCTCGTCTGCTCTTGCACCCGACCGGCCTCGCCCATCTGGGCCGTCGCCCTTTCCACAGACTACATCGTCGCCGGCTGCGACGCCGGCGCTCTCCACGTCTGGTCGCCGGCCACCCTCGCGCCGCTCGGCACTCCGCTCACCGGCCACGCCTCGCGTGTCTCATGCATTGCTCTCGACGGCTCCCGCCTTGTCTCTGGCTCTGACGATGGCTCGGTCCTTGTCTGGAACCTCGAGACCATGACGCTCGTCACCTCGCTCACCATGGGTGCCGCCCACCCAGTCGCCTCGGTCCGCTTCGACGACACAAAGATCGTCTCGGCCGGCGGTGAGGATGACCCCGCCATCCGTATCTGGGACTTTGCCTACGGCCTCGACGCCGTCGATGCTCGCTCGACTATCATGGCCATGCCCTCGGCCTCAGCCTCGCTCCAGGCCCCGCTCACCGCCCTTCGCAACCGCCACAAGGTCGCCCTCGCCCACATCGCTGCCGCTCAGTCGACCGGCGAGCTCCCGCGTGACATGGAGTACTCGGATACCGACGAGTACGACGAGCCTGACGTCGACCTTGACCCCGACAACTCCATGCTCTTGCAGGACATGTACGAGTACGACGACCACGACTCGGACGACGACTCGGACGACAACGACGCCGCCATGATGGCCATCATCGATGGCCGCTTTTGACTTTTCTTCATAGTAACACAATGCTTGTACATTTGAAGCAACTACACTCATCGGTTTCGCCGCCCCGAGTTTCGCAGCCCGAGCTTGGCCTGCAGCGCGTCGCGAGCCGCCTTGCGCTCATCAATGCCCGCGAACAGAGCGTCGTACTCGGGCCGGGTCCGCCGCGGCTGCGACGCCGTGGCCTCCGGTGGCGGCGACGACACCCGCCGCATCGCTGCCAGTGCAGGCGAAGGCGCAAACGTCGGCGCCCGTGCCGTTGGCGTCGAAAGACGCGGGTCTAAATGCGAGCGCACCGATGGCGGCTGTGGCGACGGCGACGCCGCCCGCCTCGACGCCACCGACGACGACATGCTCGTGTTGGACGACGGCGACCCACTACCCGGCCCAGACAGCCGCGCCACAGAGTGGCCGTACTGTCGCACATGGTCGGCGTTCAGCAGCCGAGAAACAAAGCCCTTGATCCGAGCCTCCAGCGACACAATGTGTGCGTTCTTTGCTTCGAGCTCTTTCTGCGCATCCCCAAACCGGATGCCAGCTTCCTCCAGCGCCAGAGAGGTCTTGGCCAGCTGTTCCACCACCGTATCGCGCTCCTGCTGCGCCTGCTCCAGACTTGCTTCAAGCTGGACCATCCGCGCCGCCTGCGATTGGACCTGCCGTCGTAGTGCTCTTGGCGCTGAGCTCCCCTGCAGACGGACCTCCTCAACCTCGGTCTCAAGCGCCCGCGCCTTCCTGACAAGCTCGTCACGCTCGCGCGTGAGTTCAGTGCACCCGCGGCGCCACCGCTCGAGCTGCGATGCCAGATCATCGCGCTCCATCTCCGCCTGGCTCCGACGTCCGTGGCTCGCGCTTCGGCGCGCTGCCGCTACCGCCTGTTCCAACTCGTCGCGCTCGGTCTCAAGTGCTGCTACCCGCGCATGCGCGGCCTCCAGCTCGGGCGCCTTGGACACCAACTGTCGCCTCAAGCTCTCAACCTGGGCCTCGGACATTGTCAGCTGCTCACGTAGCTCACGGACTTGGACTGTCAAACCCTCGCATGCCTCGGTCACTTCAGTCCGCTGCGCCTGAAGCTCCTTGACGCGCTCCTGCAGCGCCGGGTCCACTGCACGAGGCTGTGCTGCCCGCTGCCGCACGCGCTCCAGCTCAAACTGCGCATCGTCGCGCTCAGCACGCACGGCTCGCAGCTCGGCGCGCATGCCCTCATTGGCATCGGCTAGCTCGTCGCGCTCATCCTCAAGCGCTCGCAGCTCCTGCGCCACAAGGCCAGATCGGTTCGGCGAGCGGGACGCCGCGTCGCGGCGCATCCGTTCCAGCTCAAACGCCGCGTCATCGCGCTCGGCTCGCACGCTTCGCAGCTCGGCCCGCATACTCTCGTTGGCATCAACGAGCTCGTCGCGTTCGGCCTGCATGCTGCGAAGCTCCTGCGCAAGCCGCCCACCGCGGTCCGGCGATCGCGACAGTGCGTCGCGGCGCATCCGTTCCAGCTCAAACGCCGCGTCATCGCGCTCAGCGCGCACGCTCCGAAGCTCGGCCCGCATGCTCTCGACGGCCGCAACAAGCTCGTCGCGCTCGGACTCGAGTGCCCGCAAGCTCCGTTGCGAGCGGTCCGGTGACTGGACTGCCGCGTCGCGCCTGATCCGCTCCAGCTCAAAGTTGGCATCGTCGCGCTCAGCGCGCACGCTCCGAAGCTCGGCCCGCATGCTCTCGACGGCCGCAACAAGCTCGTCGCGCTCGGACTCGAGTGCCCGCAAGCTCCGTTGCGAGCGGTCTGGCGACTGGACTGCCGCGTCGCGCTTGACACGCTCCAGCTCAAAGTTGGCGTCGTCACGCTCGGCGCGCACGCTCCGAAGCTCGGCGCGCATGCTCTCGACGGCCGCAACAAGCTCGTCGCGCTCGGACTCGAGTGCCCGCAAGCTCCGCTGCGAGCGGTCTGGCGACTGGACTGCCGCGTCGCGCTTGACACGCTCCAGCTCAAACTCGGCATCATCACACTTTGCCCGCACGCTCCGCAGTTCGGCGCGGAGACTTTCGCAATCAGCCACAACCCGGTCGCGCTCGGCCTCGACTGCGTGGAGCCGCGCCTCAATGGCGCGCTGTCGGTCCGGTGACATGCTCGCTGGAGCTGAGCTAACCCGATCAAGCGCGGCTTGCAGGTCGTCACGCTCGGCGCGCAACTGGCGCAGCTCAGCGCGAATGTCCTCATACGCCGCCGAGAGCCGCGAGTTGTCAGCCTCGAGCAGCTGGAGCTTGGTGTGCGAGGGCCCGGAAGCAGCTGTCGCCGCCTCCAGCTCAGACTCCAGCCGTGCTGCCGCCGACACTGCATCGTCGCGTTCGCCACGTAGCTGTCGAATGCTGGCCAGCGCTACTTCGTGGGCAGCGGCCAGCTGGTCGCGGTCGGCCCGGACAGCCCGGACCTCGGTCGCCGCCGACTCTTGGGCGCCCGCGGCCGAAAGAGCCTCGGCCCGAGCACGCTCGGCGTCGGCCTTGACGCTTCGGAGCTCGTCATCCTGCTCTAACCGCGCCTGCTCCAGCAACTTGACTCGCGCTGCAAGCTGATCCCGGTCTTGCTGGGCAACCGCCAGCTCGCGCTCGACACCAGGTAGCTTCTCGTGAGCCAACGACGACTCGGACTTCCACGCCTGAAGCGTCGCCTGGTGTGCGGTGTGCTCGCGCTCAGCGCGCTGGGCCACCTCATTCACATGTGCCTCGCTTCGCTTGACCTTGAGCGCCAGTGCCTGGATCAACACATTCCGCTCTGAGAGTGCAGACTTGAGCTGCACACCCTCTGCCTCCATTTGCTGAACCTGTTCGGCCTTGGCCTGCAGTGCGGCAACCTGTGCGCGAAGCTCCGCGGTCACCTGCTGCTCTGCTGCAAGGCTGGCATGGAGCGTGCGGCTTCGCTCCTGCTCCGCAAGCAGCGCCGACTTGGACGGCGCTGCCCACTTTGTTTCGGCTTCGGCCTGGCGCGCAGCCTCCGTCTCGGCCTTAGCGAGAGTCACAGCCGTGTGGGCATCGGCAAGGGCGGCCTCTGCCCGGCGAGCGGCATCAGCATGGGCTTCGGCATCGGCGCGGGCGTCGGCAAGGGCGGCCTCTGCCTGGCGAGCGGCATCAGCATGGGCTTCGGCTTCGGCGCGGGCGTCGGCAAGGGCGGCCTCTGCCTGGCGAGCGGCATCAGCATGGGCTTCGGCATCGGCGCGGGCGTCGGCAAGGGCGGCCTCTGCCCGGCGAGCGGCATCAGCATGGGCTTCGGCTTCGGCGCGGGCGTCCGCGAGCGAGGTAACTTCCTCTTGGTGGACCGAGATCTCCTCTCGGCGGACAGATTCCGCCTCGACGTCGTCCTGTCTGCGTGCATCTAGCTGTGCACGAGCAGCGTTCAGCTCGGCCTCAAGTCGATCACGCTCGGCGGCTAGTGCGTTCTTCTCGTGCTCAACACTCTCAACCTGGGCTCGGAACGCGGCATGGGCAGCCTTCATCGGCGACGGCAGAGTCTCGCCCGAGGTCGAGTGCCGCGACGCCGCCAGCCGCTCCTCCAGCTCGGCGTTGGCACGGCGAATGTCATCGCGCTCAAACACGAGCTGCGCATTAAGCTCGTTGAGCTTGGTCACGCTCTCAGAGAGGACATCGACTTGTGCGAGGAGCGCAGGCATAGACTTTCGGTCGGCGAGTATGCGGCCGAGCCCAGGTGTGACGGCGCGCCACCAGCAACAGACCCAATAGGCGCCTGCAGCGCCATCTCAGGCGCGACATCGCGCCACACGCTCGCCACAGGCTCGTCCCCAAACTGCGTTCGCAGCGCAGCCCGGAGACGCATGAGAACCTGCTCATACTCGAGCGCAAGAACTTGCGCGGCCGCACCTTCCTGCTGCCGCTCCGGCGACGCGCCTCGGTCGACAGACTCAACGTCTGAGAGCGGGTCGTCGGCCTCAATGCCAAGTTTGGACTCGAGGGCGCGAATACGCGCCCGAAGCGCGGCGTTGCGCTTAGCAAGCACAGTCTCGCGCCGGATCGCCGACGCCAGCCCTGTATGCTGGTTAATGCGCTTGTTCAGCCGCCGGATCTGCGCGTTCAGCCGCTTCGTCTCCTGGCGAAATCGCTCGCGCTCCTCGTCCATGGCGGCGCTGGCGTTTGCAGCCGCCGCCTCGAGCTGCTCCGCACGCTTGAGCCGATGCAGCGACTCGACAGTGAGAACCTCGGTCGGATGATCGACACCAACCTCGCTCATTCCACCGTATGCCGACGAGACCGACGCCATGTCGACCACGCCCGCCACCGCTGCCGCCGCCGACTCGGAGTTGATCGGAGAGAGCTCCCAGTGCGGCGGCGACTGATGCCGCTTGCGTGCCACAACCGAGCCCGACGACTGCACAGATGCCATCGAGTCTATCCGGCCGCCTCCACTCCGCTGAGCCTCGAGCATCCGTGGCCCGAGCGACGCCGCCCGGGTCGACGGGTGTCGAGTCGGCGTCATGTCCTGGTCCACGTTTCGGCTCGCAGCCGGTCGTCTCTCCCGCGGTGCCCCCTGTTCCGATCCCGCCGGCCCAGACACTACTCTCCGACTCTCTGCCCTTTGTGAGCTCCTGGGTGCGCCTAAACGAGCACGAGGAAGCGAGATCTCCCCGCCGTCGCCGTCGACTCCGCTGGTAACCAGCACGTCTACCTCGACACCAGCCTCATCCCCGCCCCCAAGCCCACCAGCGTCCGCCGAACAGGAGAACAGCTTGTGCGAAAGCCACTCTCTGCACCGCTCTCCTGTCCTGCCCCCTCCCACCTGGCTTGACTCTGGTGGTGGCTCGGAGGGTGCGGACGTTGGGGTTGTTCGTCGGCCGGCTGGGCGCCACCGGTGTTGTGGCGGCCACTGGCATGGCTACCGGCATGGCCACCAGTCCAGGTCTCACCCCATCCGTCAGACCACCCTTGTGGAGAGCCACGGGCAAAGGCGTCTGGTGAGCCTACAGAGTATGAGCTGTATGAGTACGTGTCACTGGCCCCTGCTCTCATGCTGGCCATGGCGCTGTCGCCAAAGGGGGAGAGAGAGAGAGAGAGAGAGAGGAGAGAGAGTCAGGTGGTGTCCCCGCCAAAACCTCAGCCTGTCCCCCCCCCCCCCCCCCCCCCCCCCCACCTGCTACCACCGATGACCACCATCGCACCCATTGGGCTCATGATGGGAGTCTTGGAATCGTCCATTCGCCGCTCTTGTGCTACCATCTCGTCACCGGGGTTGATGTGGGAGACGGCTGATGGTCTGGCCCTGTAGCCGGCTGCGATCGGGATTACACTATCATCATCGTGGGCGATGTGAGTTCTGCTCTCACTTTTGACTCTATTGATACTCTTAGTGATAGCCCCCCCCCCCCTCCCCCACCTCCCTCATTGTTTGTACCATGGTTGTGCTGCCCGATGCCCGTATGGCCATCGTGGACGATGGCGCGCCTGACGACAACTCACGCAGCCCCCTGCGCCGACGGCCTGGCGCCAGCTGCGCACAAGGCCCACACCTGACTCGCTGTCAGTATGTGGCGACACCCTCTTGTAGCATTTGCTTTTGTCTTGCTTGTTGTGGGGCGGTGTGAGGGTGGTAGTGCAGGAGTGGTCGTGAGACTGGCCTACGTAGGCGGCGTGCTGGCGGAGGGTGAGTCGCCCAACTTTGGCCGTACCATGACTCTTCTGCCGCTGCCGGACGGCTCGCTGCCGACAGTCGAGATCAGATCGATGGCATGTGAGTCATGGAACGCCTTTCTCCGCTTGTTTGATGGCTTCGATGATGAAGATGCTCTGCCTGCAAACGTTGTTCTTGTTGGCGAGGTCTGCAACGCTGCCGGCGACGTGGTGCTCTGGTCTGGGGACGGGCACAAGATCGTCCACGACACGGTGATGGTTGATAATGGCGATGTGGTGTATATGGGCCTCGGCAGCGACCAGTGGGTCTGGCCCGCCACTGAATCGGTGTTTGATGTTTCGCTGCACACCCCGCGCTGGATCAAGGCGCATGTGCCAGACTTTGCACCGCTCCCGCTCCCGCTGCAGATGACGCCGCTGGCGGCTCGGCCTCGGCTGTTTCACGTGGCCAAGCTTCTCTCAGTTCAGGAGACATGGTATCTGCGGATGCTGGGCAGGCGGGCCGGGCTCGCTGCGTCTGGCGTGCTAGATGGCGTCGATACCGATCGGCGCTCGTCGCGGACAGCGTCACTGGCGAGCGCAGAGCTCGGCGGCGACACGTTCCTGCTCGCACTACGTGCACGGGCGCAGTCGCTTCTGCGCCTGGACGACTCGGTAGGCTTTGCATCGGTCGAGGCGCTGCAGGTGGTGCGGTACGAGGCCGGGCAGAAGTTTGGCCTCCACTACGACGCGCTGGTCGACGACGGGGCCATCAACATGACCCGGCCGTCGCCGAGCCGGACTCATCAGCGCTTCGCCACTATCTTTGCAGTCCTCGGCACTGATGACGAGGCTGACGCCAGCGGGCGGCCGCCGCACCGCGACACACCTCCGGCGGATCCGGGCGCGCCGGGATCGCCCACCATCTTTCCGCTCGCCAAGTCGTCATCCGAGCTTGCGGCGTGCTTTCCCGAATGTGCCCCAATAGGCGACATACCATACCTGCCGTTTGGCGAGCAGGCGTCTGGGCGTGATCCCTGTCAGGTCCGCGACTCGGGCGTAGGTATCGAGCTCGCCCAGGGCGATGCCGTCGTCTTTTACTCGCATCTCGCACACGGGCAAGCCGGGGCGTTCCTCGACAAGTGGTCGCTCCACGGCGGCTGCGAGGTTCCGGCCACTGCGCCCACCAAGTGGGGACTCAACATTTGGTTCTCTTCGCACGTCCTTGTCAACGATGACGGCGACACCATGTACACTCCCGGCCGATCGCCAGCCGAGATGGCGGCGCTCCTCGACGAGCACGACGACGAGTATGACGAGTATGACGAGTATGACGACAAAGGCGGCGAAAGTGACGATGAGCTTCACGATGAGCTGTAAAACGTAACTCGCTGTCACAGCAAGCTATCATTTGCCTCGCTTCCGCCTCTCCTCGGATTGGAAACTCGTCCACCGGAATGGGCGCAGCCCGAGATCGAGCGCCAGCAGCAGCCACCGCTCTCGCGAGCTGAGGTGGACGTTGGCGAGGGCAAATGGCGGCTGATGACTTATGCCTAGCCCATCTCCCTGCCGAGCTCGTTGTTGCTGTCCTTGGCTTTCTCTCGACCCCAGAAGACGTCATGGCAGTGACGGGTGCGTCGCGGACGCTGCGGGCGTTTTGGAAGTGGAAGCGGTTTGGCGACGGATGGTGCTGGTATTGCTGCCCGATGTGGACGATGACGAAGGCGACGCGGGTGATGACAAAGCCGAGGCAGGCGATGAAGCGGGCGATGGATGGGAAGGGTCTGCTATGATCTCGATGGGTGTGCGGGTGCTGGGAGTCGCTCCGAGGACGACGATGGCCGGGCTCAAGGGCGACGGCGAGGCGGGCGAGGTGCCGGGCAGCTGGCGAGAGATCTTCCTTGAGCTATTTGTGCGGCGGCGATGGGCGCGCGGGCAGCTTGTGCAGCCATGGAACTGGGACTTGTTGTTGCCGGGCTCTCGACATGCTTCTGTCTCGCTCAAGCATGAAGCGATGGCGCAGGCGTACAGATTTGTCGGGGACATGGCCAAGCGGGTCGAGGTCGAAGGACACGCAAAAGGGCTATCGATTCGTGACCAGGCCCTCTGGCTCCGGCTGTTCAAGTGGATGGATGTGGTGGGTGTTGCGGTCTACCGCGATCTCCTGGACGAGCAGCCCGGGTGGGCAGAGATCCGTGTGGCACTGCCTGCCGCGCCGCAGCTGCCTGGCACCCGGACCGGGTTTGGTCAGCGCTTCGACGATGTTGCCGACGCCATGCGCCCATCGCAGTGGGTCGAAGTTGTTGTTCGCCGAACAGTGTTAGGCCGGCGCGGCCGGCTGCGGTTTAACATGTGTCTCGTCAGCTCGTCGGCGCTCGGCGGTCCGGGACGCAGCGACGGCATGGTCGAGAACACAGGCGCGGTGACAGAGGGCGTGATGGCGGCGCTTGGCCTCGATGCCGGCGAGCACACACTTGGCGTCCTACTCATCTGCGAGTATCTGGTGACTGCCGCGGCGAGCTTGGTGTTTTCCAAGCTCCATAGTGATGTCGACGGGTTCGAGGGCGCGCCGCCGCCACCATCGCAAGCGCTGCGATCGGCCACCGACGGCGGACTCTCGATTGTTCGCGACGCCGCCGACACAATTGTGGCGCACGCCGCGTCCGAAACTGGAGCAGTGCTGCGGCAGCCGTCATGGATGTCGCTACTGTCGGAGTGAGCGCCACTACCTGCCTGCGGTGATTGCCGTGGGCTGTACTGTCGGTGGTTGCCGGCGGCCAGAGCAGAGATATAACACATCCATGCCCGCCACATCCTCCCCAAACCACAGTTGCGCCGATCCCCCCCCCCCCAG